CCCTCTGTTCATTAAGAGAATGTAACTATATATCTATCCTAACCACTTTGAATACACAGATACAAAATGGACATTCATCTGTATACCCTTTTTTTGTTAAGTTCCATTATTTGAATATTATAGGTGTGTTAACTCAGCAAAATAATCTAAAAGAGTTCAGTAGCCCATAATAGTCTATTCTGTCTTCCGCTTGACTGGCAGTGTCAGAAATTGATGACCTGAGTCCCCTACAGCTCAACGTAACAGCGTGGCTTTACGTCTTAATAGGCCTCTTTTACTAAAGGAATTCTCACCACAGACCTTCTGCTTCCTTCCAGGGCATAGGACTCTGTACGTGGGGGTTCGGATGCCTCTGGGTAGGCAGAGCCATCGACACCACCGCACCCACGGCCAGAAGCACCGGAGACGAGCGCGGGGCAAAGGAGCCAGCCAGGGAGAGGAGGGTCTGGAAGCCCTGGCCCATGGTAACACCCTCAGGAGGAGGATGGGGAGGAGGAGGAGGTGGACATCCGTGGCCAGAGGCTTGGTAATGCTGACCATGTGTGAGGGGTATAACCGTGTCATTGTGATCCCAGCCTTTTGGGAGGTTTTGCAGTTTGTGTCCAAGAAGAAATACCTCTAAAAATCAAAAGCATGTTCATGAAAGCCCCACAGTTCGGTACCTCCCCAATCAATAATATATGTAATCCTTTGCTAGAGAAATAACCATTCCTTTTGATCAAATTTGTCTGATTTTTACATTCTTAGGGGATTTCTGTAAGTATAGTCTTAGTTTATAAATCTGTCTTCTCATGGAACTGCTTTCACAGAATACCTTTTCTCTGAGACTAGAGAAACTCTGTGCTCAAGATCACCTATATATTCCTGAAGTGGTTAGGTGAGGGCTATTTCTGTCCTGATTTGAGGCTAGCTGCAGACCTTTCTGTGGCTGGTTTCCTAGACACACCGTCTCAGCGTGTTCAGTTCATTCTCGGGACCGAAGAAGATGAAGAGCATGTGCCTCACGAGCTATTCACAGAGCTGGATGAGATCTGTATGAAAGAAGGAGAAGATGCCGAGTGGAAGGAGACAGCCAGGTGAGGCCCTCCCTAGCCCAGATTTGGGCAGGCAGATGCATGCCTCTCAGCCAGTAACAGATCTGCTTGCCTGTTCTTTCTTTCTGGACAAGTTGATAACTGATGTGAAGATTGATGTTCAGAGCCCCTTGTTGGGAATCTTGGTGTTGGTTGTTTTATGACATCTCTGGTCATTTCTATCAGGTGACCTTGAGCTTGTAATTGGTGGCATAAATGTGTAACCTTCAAGGAGTGCTCTCTTTCATTTGTTTGAGGTTCAGAGTAAACGCATGGGTTTTCTTTCTTCTTCTTTCCTCTGTTCTTCCTTCCTTTGTTCCTTCATTCTTTCCTTCCTTCCTTTTGAGGCATGTTCTCATTATATAATCCAGGATAGCCTTGAACTCACTATTATATATAATTGATGCTTATGGTTGGTACAAGCCCAGCATGCCTGGATACTGGGGAGCAGGGCGAAGAGTAGGTAACTGGCAAAACATGGCCCCAGCTCTCATTGAAAAACTCCTCCTGGGTATCGGCTGTGCTGTGGACATTTTCTGTGGGTAAAGAGTATTGAGCAAATCGATTGACCTGATACCAAGTGAAAAGGCAATTAATTAGTATTTTGTCATGCAATCTTTGTGACTTCTAAAGGTCACACAGAATATTGAATACTGAAAGTCACACAGATCATTCAAAAAAGAAAAGTATTGTCTTTTTTATTAATGCATTTTGTCAATATGTCCAAGTGATATAAATTAGATCTACTTTTATGTTTTTTATCTACTTTTAATTATGCGGGTAATATATGCTCATTATAGAAAGTTAGAAAATAATGGTGAACAACAAGAAAATGAAAATTATCTGTAATTCCACTACCCCAGGGGTTATAAGGAATATGTTCAGTGTCTTATACATGTATGTATTTGTAGTTTTATATTGTTCTTTAAATAAAAATGGAGTTAAACTAACATTAATATTTTTCTCAATCTCATACTGTTCTGTAACTTGCTTTTTCTTTTTTTAATTAAAAAAATCACTTATTATTATTATTATTATTAAATAGTACAAGGTCTTGCTACATAGCTCAGACTCATAGTAATCTTCCTGTTTCCAGCCTCCCCAGTGCTGGGATTACAGACATGTGCTACCATGCTCAGTTTTGGTGGCTGGCACAGAGTGCCCAGGTTTCTGGGGCTGGCACAGCATGCAATGCTGGGGATTGAACCTAGGACTTTGCACTTGCCTAGCAGGCACTTAGACTGCCAAGCTATCTCTCCAGCCCATATAACTTGCTTTTTCTAATTAATCAGTTTACCTTGAAGACATAGATTGGATTTTACAACGTTTAATATGACTATTCATATAGTTTTCTCTTTTGAAAACTCATTTTCTGTCTCTGCCATTAAGCTATTTGTGGTGCTTTCAGGTGGCTAAAGTTTGAGGAAGACGTTGAAGATGGGGGAGAGCGCTGGAGCAAGCCATATGTGGCAACCCTTTCGCTGCACAGTCTCTTTGAATTAAGGAGCTGCCTCATTAATGGAACCGTCCTTCTGGACATGCGTGCGAATAGCATCGAGGAAATTTCAGGTAAAGTTAGGTGAGGGAGAACAGAAGAACTCTTCTGTAAGTTAAGAATCATGCTGTGGGCTGGGCACGGTGTTGCAAACCTGCGATCTGAGCACTGCGATCAAGAACTCAAGACCAGCCTGACTGCAGAGGGAGGTTCAAGGCCCACCTGGACTATATAGTGAGCTCAAAACCTCAGAAAGAAGAGGGAGAAGCAGCATGGGGTGGAATGAACAAAGTGGCTGTTTGTTCTTAGGCAAGTTATAGCCTCAATGTTTTGGCTGTGGGATGGATTCAAACTAATAAGCTAATCTACCTATTATTATGGGATTCAATAATGTGGTGCTTACCTTTCCCTTTGCTTGTCCATTCAGCAAACGTTTGTATCTGCCATAAGCTTCATAATGTGAGAGGCGTGGAGTTATAAAGATGACACAGTTCCTTCAAGGACTCACCTTTTAGTGGGAAAAAATACCCATGGAAACAAC